ATAATAGAATATCATTATGAGTTGTGACAATTTACAAAGTGTACCATGTGGATCTACTCAAGATGTTTAAACGACCTACCAAACTAAGAACCACTATGATAGCACTTAAAAGTGTTATGGCGCACTAAGAGGTAGGGGAATCAGTATTTTAAAAACTTTTCTTTAACTTTAAAACAAATTATAGATTCTTTAGGAAGCTTTGAGAAAAGTTCTCAAATAAAAAATAAGAATAAAATTTTTATTTTTCATATTTATAAAAAATATTCAATTTTTTTGTTTCATCTTTCAATCAATATTTTATTAAGAAAAAATTTAATCATGACTTTCCAAAGATCAACCAAGTAAATCAAAGTGCTTAAAGTAAATACAAGAAAGAAAGTGCAAGAAATAAAAAACTATGCAAACCGTATTTATAGTGGTTGGTTGAATCGTACTACATCCACTCTCTAGAGGACATTCTCTTTGTGTATTAAACTAAATGATGCTCCTTTGGCACTCAGTAAGGTTGAGAAACCCTTCTCCCTTACTAGGTAGAAAATGACCTTTATAGACTCTTCAAACCATAAAGAACTCCCTCCTTTCACCTCTTGACCTAATAGAGATGCCACTCTCTCATTCAACTCCTCACTGCAATAGAGAAGCCACTCCCTCTCCTAGCCTGAAAGAGATGTTGCTCCATCCTTCATCTCCTTATTATAGTAAAGATGTTGTCCCTCCTTCTGCCTAATGGCCCGATGAAGATGTCCTCCCCTATCCCTCTCAGCAAGTAAGTATATTACCAAAAGAGTCTCCCTAGATCTCTTCTTTATTAAGAGATCCTTAGAAACTTCACCCTTTCTCTCCCAAGTTCCAGGCTCTCTTTTTAATATTTCTTCAGAGGAAAATAACTCAATGAATGTCAAAAGGCCCTTACAAAGTCTTATGACAAAGACTAAATAAAGGGCTTCAAAAACCCTAGAAATTTTATTCTATCGATACTGATCGTATAGTACAATCCCAGATTATATAGTATGATCCCATATCATACAGTATGATTAGTTCAAATTGCCCTCTTAGTACTATATGAAGAATAAGCCTCTATACGATCAATTCAAGTATTTGAGCTGATCGTCCAATATGATATAGAGCATCATCTAGTATAATTAATTCAATCAACTTGGATTGTAGTCTTTTATGATTAGTTGAAAATAACTATTATCCCATGCAAATATTGGGTCTTACAGTACGATTTGTCCAGTCATCCACTACAATCTAACTGTATTAATTAATCTAAATTTGATTCCCTAATTATAAGATTAATTTAGACAATATTTGATTATATCGTATAGTACGATACCTTTCGTAAAGTACAATTAGTATAAATTTTGAGTTTTAAAATTTGCCTAAATTATGATTGTCGGTTGAGATCTTGATTTTAACTAATCATTCTGTATGATTTGGATTGTACAATAAGATTAGTTTAAATAGCTTTAATTATATAATTAACTACTATAATAATTTTCTAAATAGTTGATCATATAATACGATATTTATCTTATAGTATGATTAGTTCAGAAAATTATACTTCAAATTTTCTCAAAATCTCACTCTCCTATGTGTGTGTGTGTGTGTGTGTGTGTGTGTGAACGGTCACCTAGCTAGCATACACGCTTATAGAACTTGACTAAAGAAATAAAAAATTAAATAAATATTACATTCTCTTTTAACACATCCTGTTGTACCCAATATTGAGCCCTAAATCTTCATTGAATGGAGCATGATGTACCTAAAATATTAGTATATATACAAAAAAAATATGCACAATAAATATTAGGAAAAATAAAGAATTAATTAATAATATTTGTTATCATCAAAAACATAAACTCGGGAGCTCAAGTTGCAATAGTCTATATAAAGGATGTTCTCTCCTTTTAGAGAATAATGATGCATGCTATGTTTTATTATGTTTCTTCACTATGTGTAGGCCCTAATGCATTTTATTTAAGTGTTGTGATCTTCTTTATTAAATGCTCATTTACACTCATATATATGCATAGTTCCACTTTTAATGCATGATCATTGCTATCTATTTTTAAAGTTAACTTTTTTATTTATTAAATGCTTCCTCTAATTCAACATACTCTTTATTCAAGGATTCATACTTTTATTGTTATTCATGCTCTTTTTTCAATATACTATGCTCTTCAATTAATGGTTCATGCTACTTATGTAATGCAATGTGATTAGACCTTAAGTTTGAATAATTAATAGCTAAATTTTCATGCACTTCTTTTAAGATGAAATATTCTTTTTTAATGCATGCATCTTGCTTTTTCATTTTCTTATAGGAATCATGCAAGTGTTTTGATAAAGAAATCAATTCATCATATAGCATTTCACACACCTCATCATTATTCGAGTCCCCAATGCTATCTTTTGCCATTAAGTATAGGTTGGTCTTGCCTTTTAAAGTTTATGTTTGCCCTTCTTTGCATATACTTTTTCCATACCCTTATCCTTAGCTATGGGACTCTTGGTGTTCAAGTAGTCAAAATGGATGTGTCCTGGCTTTTCATTCAAAGAAAACTATAGTAGGAGAAAACTTATTTGATTTAGTGATTTTACCTTTATGCTTATCAAAGTCTTGAATTTCAAAAAGCTTTTTAACTATATGGCCATAAGTGCTAGCCATTGTTTTCATTTAAAAAAAAAAAACTATTATTTTGTTTTCTTTTTCTTTTGTTCACCAGTATCAGTGTGCATTGGCTCACCTTTTGCTCATATTCAGTTAGAGAACTAATAAGATTATCAATTGAGCAAGCATTCAAGTCCATAGATTTAAAAATAGCAATGACTTTTACATTCAAAGATTTTGGTAGGCGATATAAGATTTTATTAACTTTTTTAAGAATTAGGCATTTCTCTACCCAACGAATATAATAATGTTATGATTTTAGCAAACCTAGTGTACATGCCATAAATGGTTTCACAAGGTTGCATATGAAAGAGCTCATATTTATGTAATAATAAGTTCATGTGTGATTGCTTGAATTTATTAGCGTCTCCATACATAATGCAAAGTTTGTTCCATATTTCTTTCCCACTAGTGCAAGTAGAAACATACATATAATCATCTGATTTTAATGCATAGAAAAATAGTTCAAATATTTTACAGTTAATTGTGCTAAATCATGATCTTCAATTGACCAATTAATAAACATAATATCTATTTTTTCTCCATTCACAAAGCAAAAAGGTAAAGTATATCCAACTTGAATCATATGCCACATTTGAAAATTAATTTATTATAAAAATATAGAAATACAAATTTTCCAAAAATTGAAATGAATGTTATCAAATAAAGGTGGTCAATTAATAGAATATCCTTCAAAGTATTACTTTTTCCAAAATGTACCATTTGATCAACTCAAGATTGGTTTGAAATCTTATCCTTAGAAATTGAAATGTGCATGCCATCCAATGCTACGTGTGACTGGAACATTTGTAAAAACACATAGTAGAGAAACTTTGCTTATGGTTGTGGCATAAGATGCTAATGCCTTGATTTATCCTAAATTATTTATAACTATTATTTTAGAAAGCTATTAGTCATAATTGTATTTTATGACTAAGTTGAGGAAGTTAATAGACACAATGAAGAACTTAGTTATTATATATGATAATTATAATAGTATTGCAAAAGCTTTGTCAATTATGTTTTTTTAGGCACACCATGAATCTTGCACCCATCATATAATGAATATTATAATAATGTTTAAACATGTCTCTATCTTTTTAATCTACAACCACAATTGATTAATTGCATTTGAGAAAAATAAACAACAAAAACTTGAATACATTTCTATAATCAATATTTACATCTTGATTCAAAGTCCCCAAAATGACATGTAGAAGGGACATGATATGCAAAAAACCATAACAACAATACATCACTGCAAAACATAAAAAAATTATTTTTGTCATGAAAATCAAAGAACCATTAGAGAAACTCTTGATTAAGGCAATAAACATAATAATATACCCCGTTAAATAACTTAAATTGCATGTCCTTGATGGATGCATAAATACTGATGTTAATTTGTAAGACATGATATATACATATAGAAAATTTTTATTACGGTTCTTCTAAGCTAAAATGCATTGACATTAACTCTAGATTGGGATATTAATTATTAGACTTTACATATAAAGTTTTATATATTGGAAGCATGATTAAATGCAGAAATATATATTCATTTGGAGAAAACAACACCTCAGTGAAGGATGTTGTTCATCAAAGGTATATTGATGTGTAGTTAGAGACCATAATCGATGTAGTAATAAGGAATGTGTCAATTGCCTTTATAGCTTCTTTGACCTCACAGCAACCCGAATAGCGCATAATATTATAAATTTGTTTTGAAGGATACCAAACACTAATAAACATTTCAAGTAATTGAGCTTATTTTTATATTATACTTATAATAGATTTGAATTATAAATATTTGAAAACAAATGCCTTATGTAAAGCAATAAACTACATCTCACACCCAAAAATAATCTTTTTTATAATTTCAAATTAAGTAGAAATTGAATTCAAGTAGGATTGAAATGAAATCATTTTGATTTTGATTAGAATTCAAGTTGAAATAAGCTCAATAATTTTGAATTAAATAAAATTGATCGAACCAAACTACTTTTGAGCCAGATTATATAAATATAGTATTTTGGAGGTATTTACATATATATCATAGATTTTTTATATATTTATATGTATCACATCTAACTTTTTATATCTACTTACATATCACTTTAATATTTAAATTTTATTAAAATATAAACATGTAAATGTATGTTTTATTTTAAGTAAGTTAATATTAATATTTTTTTATATAAATAATAAATTTAAATATTATAAAAATAAATATAAAAATTTCAGTATTAAATAGTTTTATGAAATTTATGTAAGTCCACCATTATTTTATCCAGTGAAATAGCTAAAGTGATATGCATGTAAATCCCCCCTTTTTTTTTATCCGGTGGAGGGTTTTAGCGGCCATTTTGAACGGCGAAATAAACCTTGAGACCATTAGCGAGACGGTGGAGCTCTCAAAGCATTATGTGAATCACCTCCGCAATGGCTTCCTTCGCTTTAACCAATCCTCTTCCTCTCGTCAGGTTCTTCTCAATCTCATCTATGACTATATATTTTGCATCATCTCCCATATTTATGCAATTTTAATGTGTTTTTGTGCTACTTATGAAGCTGTAATTAGCAGTTTACATTTCTAAATCTGCTAATGTCATATACTAGTTATATTTATTTTGCAAGAATTAGCGAAATAGAATATTGCATGCATTTCTACTTTCTCCGAGAAATTAAAACTGTGTTTAGATGCTAGGGATTTGATTGAAAGGAAAGATAAAATGTGTTGAAAAGTTTAAATAAATGGGTGGAGATTAACAGTCAAACCATAAGTTGTTGGAACCTTATTTTGGTTCATTCTCTTTCCTTCAATCCATACGAAGCATGAAACTGTGCTTTATTTGTAGAAATTAGTGAAAAAGGAACATTATATTTCTTGCAATTTTCACTTGACTGTTTTAGTTGGGTATAATTCATAAAAAAATGAATTTACCTTGGAAATTAGAAGTTTTGTTCATATGAATATTTTTTGGTATGATTCTCTAATTAAAGACATTGAAGTTGAAGTGAAGTATGGATAACTGTTGGTTGTGTCCATTCTTCAATTTATTGGTTATTCCTTCAAAGTGGACAAAAATATGAAAAATGCCTTTTCACATAATTTCTTCCAGGGTTAACATTGAAATGAACTAATTTGTTAAACCTCATAAAAACTTTTTGATGCCCAACGGATTCAGGATCTTTTCCAAACTAGAGTTACTAAACTTTTAAATCTAAATTTGCCTACAATTAGAACAAAACACACAAGCTAGTGAATTTAGGTTTACGTAAATAAATAATTAACTTATATTTATTTACAAAATAAATTCATCAATGCAATTTATTAATTATCAATTAATTAGAAACATTCTTTCACTAGAACTTGCCCAATATTAACTAAGAGTTATATGTAAAACAAATAACCTTTGTTTACCTAACACTTGCAAGCCAAAAGCAATAGTAATTGAAAGATAATTCAAGATACACTAAAGTTATACAACCTCCTATCAAGGAGTAATTATTGTGTCTGGACACTGAACGTGTCCAGAGACCAATAACAAAGCGCCACATCACCTAGGCGTTCGGTATTGTGCTCGGTACCGCGCTCGGTACACTCGGTATGCTCGGTATTCTGTCCGGACGTAATAATTTTGCCCTATCAAGAGATCAAGCTTCTTGATTAAATTAGTAAGCAAGAATGAAATAAAACCCCTAAACAAGAATCTACACCATCTTGCAAACTTTTTAAAACAATTAGATATGCAAGAAATATATAAAACAAAAAATTAGCCAACAACGATGAAGAACACAAAGAGAAGTGGAGGAATGCATCAGGCTTGTTGTGTGATAAAAAAGTACCCCCTCAAACTTAAGGGAAAATTCTATAAGATGGTGGTGAGGCCTGCAATGCTTTATGGTGCCTAATGTTGGCCATTAAAAGAGAAGCATAATACTAAGTTAAGTGTGGCAGAGATGAGGATTCTCAGGTGGATGAGTGGTTAGAGAGAGTCGCCTTAGATGATTTGGTCACATAAAACGACGGCCTTCCGATGACTCGGTTATGAAAGTAGATGTATTACATTTGACTTATGTTAAGAAAGGTAGAGACAGACCTAAAAAGACTTGGTTAGAAAATATTAGAAATAATCTTTCTTTATTAGATTTAAACGAGAATTTGACTTTTAATAGGACACAATGGAGAAAAATGATTCATGTAGCCGACCCCACGTAGTGGGATAAAGGCTTGATGTTGTTGTTGTAAAGATGAAGAACACAAGCATATATGTGGTTTGGCATGGGGTGTCTACATCCAAGGGGAGAAAGAGGGCTAGATCTTTTATTAACTTGCACAATCAATTTACAAAACCTAACAAGGATTGTATCTTGGTAAATCTTTATAAAAAAAAACACTAATTTCTCCAAGAAAAGTAGTAAGGTAAGATATCACCTGATTTAACTTTGATTCCTTTCATGAAAAGAAACAACCAAATTGAGGCCCTAGCTTTGATTACCTCTTATTAGCATGCAAGAAGCTCTAATCAATAGTGAGGCTCAAGGATGTTACCTCTCTCACTCTCGAGACTTGTGTACAAGTCCTCCTCCCAATCTCGCCATGAATCACACGCTAGGCCTCTTCTCCTCTCAATCTCAACCACAACTCTTGATTTCGCCTCCTTTCGATCACTCCTAGTCGCGCCTGCTTCTTCTGTTTCGTTCTCTTGTTCTTCTCCTGCTGAAGGCTCCACCTGCTTTAATAAGAAGAAAGCAATACAAGAAACAATGTAATATACGTGGCTATACTAGAAAAGCTACATGCAAGGCTACACAAGATAGAGTAAATTAAATCTAAGTGCAAATTAATAAACTGAATTAGCAACTAATATTTTTTTCAATAATTCATTTGGCAATTTATTTAACAATCTCCACCTTGAATCAAATATTAGATAAGCCAAGCAATCTCTTTCTCCCAAAGCCTCCTGAACCGATTTGAGTCGGTTTGGGTCCGATTGGGTCCGATCAAGCTAATTTCGTGAAATCGAACTTGAAACGGCGCCGAATTATGTCGAATTGAGCTCGACGATGCTCGACAGGGTTCGATTGGTTTTGATTTGATTTAAATTAAATTAAATTTGATTTAATTTAATTAAATCGGGGTTCGATTTGAGTCAATTTCGTCTTGACGACCTTCGATCGAATCGATCGAGCACGATCGAGCCCAGTCGGGCTCGATACGAAAAAGTACGTCAACAAAAGGACGCGAGGCAGTGCTAAAATTTGGTTCCAGCACTACTTCATTGAGTATGTCGGCTGGATTATCATCTTTATGAACTTTCTGAATTTCTATAATGCCTTGAGGTAGAACATCTCTGATAAAATGCTACATGATATCAATATGCTTTGTTCTTTCATGAAATGCATGATTCTTCATCAGATGAATAACACTCTGGCTGTCACACCAGATAATAGCTTTTATTTTTATGTTCTTAATCTCTTGAAGAAACTCTTTCAACTAGATGCCTTTCTTTAATGCCTCTGTAGCAGCCATATATTTTGCCTCTACTGTTTATAAAGCCATAACTAACTAAAGATTGGATTGTCAGCTAACTGTGTTACCATAGACTTGAAAGACATACCCTGTCAAAGATCTATGCTTATCCATATCTCCTGCATAATCTGAATGCACAAAACCTGAAATCTTCTCTCTGCGCCAATTTTCCTTTTTGTAATTCAACCCAACACCATTTGATTCTCTGAGATATTTGAAGATTCACTTAATAGCCTTCCAGTGCTATTTTCTCGGATTAGTCATGAATTTGTAAATCATACTCATAGCATAAGCAATATTTGGCCTTTTGTAAACCATAGGATACATCAAACAGCCAGTTGCACTTGCATACGGAACTGAACTCATATACCTTATGATCTTCCTCTGTTGTTGGTGTCTATAACACAAAAAGCCTGAAGGGTGAGCCCAATGGTGATGAAACTTATTTGATTGATTCCATTCCAAATTTCTTTCGAACTTTTTAGGTATATATTTGTTGATAAAAATGCAATAAGCCTTTATTTATTTCCCTTATTACATCTATCTCAATTATACGTTTGCTCTAACCAAATCCTTCATCTCAAACTGACTGTTTAGTAACAGTTTTAACTGATCTATCTCTAAAACACTATAAGTGTCATAAGCATATCATCGACTTACAAAAGAAAATATATTGCACTGTTCTCTGAAAATCTTTTATAGTAAACACATATCAAACGAACTTCTTTTGTAAAAATTTTCAATCATAAATGAAACAAATTCCTTATACCACTATCATAAATGAAACAAATTCCTTATACCACTATCGCCGAGATTGCTTTAATCCATATACAAATTTCTTAAGGAGTCTCCTTAAGATTTCCATGTAGAAAAGATGTTTTAACATCCATATGTTCAAATTCAAGATCATATCTGACAACCAATGAAAAAATTATTCTGATTGAAGTATGCTTAATAACTGGTGAAAAAATCTCATTGTAATTTATTCATTATTTTTTGACTGAACTGCTTTGCCATTAATCTTGCCTTATACCTTATTTAACCAATATCATGGCACTATCTTTTTTTTGTAAATCCATTTGCAGCCCATGATCCTCTTATTTGGTGGTTTATTCACAAGTTCCCAAATACAGTTCTTTTCTAGTGATTACATTTCTTGATTCATTGCTTGATTTCAGAAACCCTATTGATCACTGCTCGTTGCTTCCTTATACGATTTAGGCTTATCATCTAGTAACTTAGGCTTATCATCTAGTAACTTTTTAGTAGTTGTGAGAGCATATGCCATAATTTTCCAAACTGTTGTGATCTTGCTAAGTAGCAGCCTCTTCTTGATGATCCTGACCACTGATATCTGTCGGCATCAGCTCCACCTGCAATTGATTTGTATCATTGTTCTCTACAATATCCATGCCCTCTATGCTCTCTTAATCCCTTTCAATAATATGATCAATCATTATTTCCTACTCATTGAAGATGACATCTCTACTAATGATATACTTGGATTCATCTGAAAGCCAACATCTATACCCTTTCACTCTCTTTGCAAATTTTAAGAATATATCTTTTTTGGATCTTGACTCCAGTTATTTTTTTAATTTTAGTATCTACTTGTTTAGATATCAAAGTAGTCTGAACCCTTTCTAAAGACAAAGTCTCCCGAGCATATTTCATTGTTTTAACAAAAAGAGCGTATGATTTAGGAAGTGAATTTAGAATGATTATTGTCTAATCCTCATCATTCACCTTAACTCCAAGATTTTTTAAATCAATGATAGTTTTATTGAAATCATCCTTATTATCATCAGGACTTTTTGACTCAGACATTTTAAATCCAAACAATTTTCCCTTGTAGTAGATCCTATTATGCAAGTTTTTAGTCATATACATTTGTCCCATTTTCAACTAGATCCCGGCAACAGTCATTTCTTTATCAACCGCACGAAGAACATTATCGCTCAAGTGCAACACCAGTGTACTATATGCTAACTCCATGATATCTACTTTCTCATAAGGATCTAAAAAATTTGATAAATTTCTCTCACCTTTCAACGTCTTATCAACCTTCATTTTGACCTGAATGACTTTCATTCTTTTTCTCCAAATTGAGAAATCGGTTTTTTCATCGAACCTTTCAATCTTAACCTTTAAAACCCTTATTCTGTATAAAAAACCTAACCAGTGTCTCTGATATCAAGTTGTTCAACCTTAAAGTCTGTTAAATGTCCAACCGACTCGAGATCTTTTTCAAATTGTGTTACTAAAAGTTTTCAAATCCAAAATTGCCTTCCAAACGAAGAACAAAATGTTCTTGAAATAGCTGACCAAAATCAATGCCCTAAGCTTCAATTTACCTTCTGTCGGCTGGTTCAAGCCCTTCCACTCGGCCCCCTCTCGATCTCACGAACCAATGGTTGAAGAAACCCTTGTACTTTCTCTCAAATTCTCCATTTCTTTCATCTTCTTGATCGAACAGGCTGCAACACCTCACAGTTTGCCTCTCCTGCTCTCAAACTCCTCTCAGTCGCGAAGACCTATTCGATCGCTCATTCGCTTCTATTCGCACGATTTGCTTCTTGTTTGCTGGATCTCCCCGACCGAAAGGCCCACCTATTGTTAATAAAGAGGAACAAGAACCAAGCAACACTAAAGGCTATACAATAGGCTACATGAGAGAAATAACATGTTAGCAATAAAAACAGATTTTTAAATAAAACAAACTAGTGCAAATTAATAAAACTAATTTAACAACTAATATTTGATTCACATAATTAATTAGCATTTTAATTAACCATCTGATTTTAACCATCTTACTTGGTGGGGTGTTCATGCTAGTATACAGCCTTTGACTGCCTTTATGCAAATGTTATACTAATTTACTTGTCAACCTAAATGTCTTGTTGAAAAAGAAATTGTGGCTTTTGTATGTTTTGCAAGTTTATGAATTTTTTTTTTCTTGTTTTTGTAAATATTTTAATTTTTTTTTTGTTATTTGTTGCGAGTACTTGAATCAAATGTCACTTCCAAAACAGTATTATTAGTATTTCAAAGCAAAACGCTGAGAATCTCTGTTGAATTATTGAAAAATGCTTTGTTGCCCAATGCCTAGCTCAAAAGATGTCTCTCAAAAGAAGTCTCCAATGCTGTTGAGTGCATGTCACGTGTCATTTATCCAATGACCGAAGACCTTTTTTTGACTATTTTTATAGGTATCATAGCATTACTTTGTTAAAGTTGCCAATTTTATTATTGCTTATATAATTATCTGAGCAAAGTTATCCCCTTATTATATGATGTTTGACTGCACTCCATAAACATAGCATCCTATCTGAACAGTATATATGAGGATTATTTTGTTTGTTTTTTTATTCATCATTATCATCATTATCATTTTTCTCTTTCTCACTCACTTTATATTGATATCTATAGTTGTCTGTCTATCCGTTGATATTTATTAAAGAAGTTATGTTGCAATAATTGATGACAATTGTTTTATTATTGCATTGTAGAAGTTATACCAAGAACCTCATTGATGCAAAAAAAAAAAAAAAAAGAACCTCATTGATGTAGCTATTATTCACCAAAATTATATTCTGGCATAACTCTAGAAGATGAGTTACCTTTTAATTGATTCAATCATACAGGTCTTATTCAAGTGACTGCATGGTACTTGCTGTTTGTAACACTTTCCAACGTAGCAATGTGAGACTGAAGAATTGGTGCGTTCTTGCAATCTCCAAAAAAAAAGCTCCGCAACTCGATCAACAAGATTCATCATTGAAAGAAAGCGGGGACAATGTTCCTAGAAATACTCAACAAACTAGACCAAGTAGAAAAAAGGTTACTGAAGAGAGTCCAGATCGCAGCTCTGCTGATATGATTGATAGCTTTGAAGAGGAGAAAATCCAAGAAGAGGTTTCTATTACAGCTTCTAAGAAATCCACAAGTAGAGTTCTTAAAAAAGGTGTGGTTCAATCTCTATATGATCTAGAGCCTTGCATATTCAGCTTATCATAGTATTTTAATCTTATGTCTCAGCTAGCACCTCATTGAGCCCTGAGGAGGGGAACTCTGAGAGGAAAGTAAAAAAGAGAAAAACCAGAAAAAAGACAGTTTCTTCAGAGGATCAAGGCATGAGAATTGAACTAGCTGATGCCAAGGAGATGATGACATCAGGTGGCAGTGTTGAGGATGATAAGGAGGAATATAAGATACGATTAAAAGATTATGAGGAGGAAGATATTAGCTTTACATATGGTTGGCCTCCTCTTGTATGCTGCTTTGGAGCTGCTCAGCATTTATTCATACCTTCTGGTAGATTGGCTAACAGGCTGATAGATCATGAAATCCATGAATCAAAGAAGGACATGTTATGGACACCAACCAAGTTTATGAGAGCTCCTGGGGGGTCTCCATCCAGTGTTGCTATAGCTCATGCAAGTATAGGCGGTAGAGTTGCATTCATGGGGAAACTTGGCGATGACGAGTATGGAGAAACCATCCTCTATCATTTAAATGTTAATAAAGTCCAAACACGAGCAATTATAATTGACAGTTCAAGAACAACAGCGCTATCTCAGATGAAGATTTCCAAAAGGGGAGGCTTAAAAGCCACTGTTGTCAAACCTTGTGCTGAAGATAGTTTTCTGAACTCAGAGATCAATATTGATGTTCTAAAGGAGGTGATGAATATTTTCATTTCGAATGATTGATTTGCTTTCTCAAAAAATTGCTGCTAGTTACATTTTTAAGCTTTTCATGTATAAAATTTGGCTGCTTTACTTTTTTGTTAAAACATACAGACATACAGTTAAAGTAGCTCTCTAAATATGTTACAAAGGTGTGCTTTATTTGCAGAAGTTCCTATAAATTTTGTTAATTGACTGCCAAATTGAATTGACAATACATATTTAGGCATGCGGAAATAGTGATCCCCAACCCACCCAAAGCCTGTTTTAACAGGTTGTATTCTATCATTATTATTATTTTTCATCTATAATAGAGTTTTGATAATTAGGCATGCTTTTCAAAGAATATTTATTGTTTTAAGATTTTTTTTTTCTGAATTAAGGATGTTTTCTGAGGCAGTGACTGTAGGCTTTTTTTTTTTAACTTTAATTTTTATAGCTGTCGTGGAGTTCAATAACAGCATCAATGAAAAATTCGCTTCTTATTCATTTTTGGTTAGTTGATCTGAAAATTTTACATCCTAGTGACTCTAATTCTTGAGTTTTTTAATGGTTCAAGCAAGCATATTATTTGAGTTTTGTTTTTACATTTTTTGTTTATTTTCTTAGAAAAAGCAAGATTTCCGTGCTTATGAAAGACAAAAGATTTCAATCATTTACTTATCTAAATTATATATTGAATGCAGGGGAAGATGTTCTACTTCAATTCCTCATCCTTGTTAGGAGAAAGCATGAGATCAACCACAATGGAAGCCATTAGGATTTCCAAGAAGTACGGAGGGGTCATTTTCTTTGACCTCAACCTCCCATTACCATTGTGGAAATCCAGCACAGAAACCACTATATTCATTCAGAAAGCTTGGAACTCTGCCGATATCATCGAAGTAACTAAACAAGAACTAGAATTCTTGTGTGGGATAGAATCTGCTGAGAAATTTGATACAAAAGACAATGACAAATCCAAATTCACTCATCATAAGCATGAGATGGTCAAGCAGCTATGGCATAGCAATCTCAAAGTGCTATTTGTGACGAATGGGACTTCCAAAATACATTATTACACGCTGAATGATAATGGATTTGTTCGTGGAATGGAAGATGCTCCGATCACACCTTACACTTGTGATATGTCGGTATCAGGAGATGCTCTTGTTGCAGGTACCTCTCATTGAAGCTTTGTTAAGTTATTGTTTCTATAAATTTATGCCTTGTTTGTGCTTTCAGCTCTCATGAGAATGCTTACAGTTCAGCCACATCTAATCACCGACAAGGGGTATTTAGAGCACATGATCAAGTATGCGATTAACTGTGCAGTCATAGATCAGTGGTTGCTAGCTAGAATTGTAGGATTCCCTCCTAAAGAAGGAGCAGATCCATCTTCTCAGACTGAAAGGAGATTTCTTTCAATATCAGAGAAAGAATACCGCACGGTTGAGAAAGCAATATCTTGATTATTAAGACTTCGTTTGGGATGGCTTTATTACTGCTTCTTAAAGCAGCTTTCTAGTACAACAAATAAATTTTTTATACTAAAAAATTGCTTTAAAAAACAGTAAGAAAGTCGTCCCAAATGAACCCTAAAACAATATGATAGTTTCGTTAATCTAATTTTATTGTACTTCTATTAGATTTACTGCACTTTTAGGAGTCTAAGTCCATTTTTGAAAATTTGTTAATGGTTTGGAAGCCTTGCTCTGAAGTTGTATTGGTCCAAAGTTGCATAGCCGTTTATTCATCATTCATGAACATATCCATTCAAAAATATGTAATTGAAATGACATTTTATATTTCTACTTTGATTTTATTTTTTTTTAATAAATAATTTTGATATATTTTTCATTGTAATATGGTGATTTATTGTATTTTATTTTATGCTAAGATCAGCATCAGCATATTTTTAAACAGTTATGTCTGTCTATTGAACTGTTGAAATTTAATTGGGAGCTTGTACCTTTTAAGCATATATGTTAGAAGGATTATTGTCACCCCCCATAACATGGCCAAATTAAAGTTTGAACAAAAAATTATAAAATCAAATTGTATAATAAAATAAAAAAGCATTTTTAAAATAGAAATTATTAAAATTACTATTTAATTAGCTACAGTTAAATGTAAGGCTTTCATTGAACTTCATAAATTCTTTAAAAAATATAATAATTTTGCTCGTTATAATTTTATTTCTTGCATTCAATTCCAAAACTGAAATGACATAATATAAGAAGCTAAAGTTTATTTAAAAAATGACAGAGCAGGTGACTTGTCATGGGAAACAAGTAACCAATTTTTGTCATATTTTAATTATTATTAGATTAATTCAATGTTACTTAAATTTACTTTCACCTCAATTTGAAGCCTAATTTACTCAAAATTGCCTTGAGATGATAAATTAAATTAAATGAAAAAAAGAAGAAGAATTTTGTATAATGAGTCTTATATGATAAATTAATTTTATGGTATTTTATATCATGATATTTGAATATAATTGCAATAAATTTAAATAGGAATTTGATTTGAATAATTAAAATGTTAGAAATCAATACAAAATAATAGAAGAATTATAATGGGGATTTAAATACCTATTACATAATTTTTATGAAATTTAATATTTCACATAACTCTAGAATTTTTTAATCATATCAAAATATATAGATTTAAATAATAATATTTTGTATATACTTTAAAAATTTTAATATCATATAAATAAATATAAAAAACTAGGTGCTTAAAAACTACTGAATATCATTTAAATCCTAAGGAATAAAATGCGAAATACTTTTGTACAACCTGATAAATGTTTCTTCATTCAGAGATTTGGGTTTTCCCCGGGTTTCCGGAGTAGCATGTTTGGGAAGAAAAAGGTAGGGTTCTAGTTTAGATTTTCCAAAGCAGTTTTTTTTTTTTGTCTTTTGCATGATTCCGAAGCTATTAGCGTTTCTTTTGTTGGTTTGATCCTCGTGCTGAGCTCGACAGCTTCAAATTTAGGTTTCTATTTTTGATTTTGAATGGATTTTGGTGTGACATTTCGAGGTTTCAGTTTTTGCAGTGGTGAATTTTAATCGTATCGTGCTAGCTGCGAATGGATGCGACACTTGAGAATACTCTAAAGGAAGGGATGCTCCGGCGGCAGATCAATGCCTTGATTGTAGCTCATCTTCGCGGTGAAAATCTCAACCAGGCAAGGTCCTACTCCTCCTTTATGACAATATGCACCAGTTTTAGTTTAAGGCTGTTTGGTTTGTCATTTTCCATTTTATTAGTAGATTTAAGGCATGTGGATAGCCCAGAATTTAAATTAAATATTACTCATGCAATTGATTTTTTAAAGATAATGTCATTAGGTCAAACATACCAAAATTTGTTTACATCTATATGTCAGACTTTTTGATGCATAAAATAAATAATTACAATTCTAGATAATATAATATTGTCCAAGCAAGATAAATTGAACCAAGCCCATCGGGTTTCATATATATTTATGTTGTTTGAATATAATTGTTATATTGATAGTACTTCAAATCACCATTGCTTATTGAAAATTCACCCAATTTGTTGTTGGACTCACAGGCTGCTGCTATAGTTGCATCGGCTACCATGACTTCATTGACCACCGAAGTGTCTCCTAATAGGCTTCTTGAGCTTGTTTCCAAGGTTTGAGCTCTTGCTTTTCCAATTTCTTTTAGTTTCCCTTAATTTCATTTTGAGTTCATGCTCTTGATGTGAAGTTGTTAACAGGGCCTTGTAGCAGAGAGAGATGAGGGATTAAAGGGGCTTTCTTCAACTTCATTTCTCAATGTTACTGGAGGTTTGCCGTCAATGCCAAATATGGTCAATGCTATTGATTTCAGGTGATTAACATCGAATAATCTAATTTCTTTCTATCTCACATGTGACTTAGTGCTTTTTTTTTTAAAGAACATGGCTCATGTGGTCTATTAGCTTACATGCATGCAACCATATGTTGTGTGAATGACATATTATGATTTAGAAGATATATGATAAGTGTTGATATGTGTCAGAAAATATTTGGAATTCCCAAGTAAAACCTAACTATCGATGAAACAACGAGAACGATCCACAAATCCAAAGGAAAAACTCAAAAAACAGTAATTTTATTGTGATAATCAAACTAATTGAAGAAAAATAACGAGATACAATTGGTCCTCTATTCGAGAGCTCCCAAATTTCTAGACGCCACTAGAGCTCAAATACCTAAACCTAAGAGAACTCAAATTTCAGCCAATTCAAGATGTTCTAACCCTAGGTAAACAAGCTATTTCATGCATACAATCCAAAAGGAAATCAATAAACAACCCCTACATTCAAATTTCCATCATAACTCCCTCAAAAATCCTTCCTAAATAGTTCCCTTGGACCCGGGCGTGCATTTGGCGCATACAGGAGAGGCGAAACTTTTGCCTCTGTTCTGTCTGGGCCAGTCCTATGTGGACCGGCTGGAGCGATCTATTGGACCGGTCTAACAATATGTATTGTTGTTGATTATTACAGTTTAAGTTAACATGCTTGACTTATGGTAGAAAGGCAGAAGAAAGATCTAGTCAGGAGCTCATTATTTTACTAAATGCATGTTTTTGTGTTTGAAACTGAAATAAATAGGCAGAATTGTTGACCCCTACGCTACATCAAAAAGGAAAGAAAACAAAAAAATACAATAAAAAAAGGGCTTGCTCGATCATCACCTGCTGGATATCCTGCAGGAAATCTCTGCATCCATAGTACCCCATGCACTGTAGCGTCGAACTGTTGCTTTGCCATGATCTCCCGCGTGCGTAACTCCCTTCAATCCACCTCTGCCTTCGTTAATAAAACGAGAGCCAAATGACTCTCTATTTTTCTTCTACTCTTCCACGTAAAGAACCCATAGCTGAGTCTCTTTCTACTGTTTACAGATCTTCCTTGTAGCTTCCGCCTTTTTTCTTGCCGCAAGAAGCCCCCATCCTATTGCCTCTCTTCCTCTCTCACACGCCTACATCCATTTTCATCCAAGGCCGACCCCATCGAGCCCGTCTCCACCTATAGTCGGAAGCTCCCAACGTTGCTTCCAACTTCCTCGGACATCCCGTCAGTCGAGGTCCAAGAGACCTCTCGATCTCGCCCTTACTTGACGCCGGAGCCGCCTTTCCACTGTGCCGAAATCAGGCCTTTGCTCTTTGCCCGAATCCTCCCTCTCGTCACCTCTACTTGAGTACCCCTTCAAGTGAAAACCCAAGTGTTCGGACCCCTACTCTGCTATATCCGACCCCTTTTGTCCTATTCGTAAACTTTCGATCCATACAGAGAGCTTCCTCCCCATCTTACCGAAATCCTTTAGTCGCCTTCTACCTACCTACCAGACGCCTCTTTTGCATAACTCAGCCGAATCTTCAGGTAGTTTAGGATATGTTTTGTATTAATAATGTTTTATACTAGTGTTAGTATTATAAGTATTAATGTGTTTATATTTATATACATATATATTTAATATATAGTTAGTTATATGTACATGCATATATTTATGTATAATTATATACCAAAAAGCATATATTTATGAAAATTATATACCAAAAAAAAAAAAAGAGTTAAAAAAAAGAGAAAGAATTTCCAAAAAAAAAAGTGAGAAAAAAAAGAAAGATTTCTTATATGCATTTTGTATACTTTATCGACATCACCTCGCCGGTCGCCAATGTATAACTCCATAAACTCAAAATCCCGCATTCGACGTTCATGTCGAGCTGTAAAATCGCCCATACATGCTTTTCTCTAGCGTGGTGGGAAGGGAACTCGGTGCGACACATTCGGCGAGGCGAGTAGACCCTATACAGGCTCTTTGTAGTGTGGTGGGGATAATCTTAAGTATCCGTATGCGGTTCTGTACCCGCGGGGTAAGGAAATTGCATTTCTTTTGAAACAGGTACCGAAGACCCATACACGTCTTTCTCTAGCGTGGTGGGATTGAAGATTTCACGGCCGCGGTGTCCAAGGGCACCAACCGTACACGCTTTTCTCTAACGTGGCGGGAGGCCCAGTTTTCTTTAGTTTCCCATAAACGGGGGAGATGCCATAAGGTTGCCAAAATTTTTTGTGAACATAAGACCGCACTCGGACTTGAATCTGGACCGATGGTGAATCGAAAACAAACTATAATGAACTTAACATGGATTTGAACAAACATAAAGTATTCAATTCAAATTTGCTAAGTGAACAATGAAATATTGAACGTAAACTGAATTTGAATCCAAACAAGTGACAAAGAACTGCTGAGTACTATAGTTGAGCTTGGACTCGAGGTGAGTAGAGGACTTGACTTGAATAATTTGTACGAGGACATGAATTTGTGGCCAAGTGAACGGTGAATTGAACTTGACATTGAACTAATAACGACAAACTAAATTCAAGCAAAAGATATTGAACAAACTATAAAGGACATGAACTTGACTTGAATCAGATGATGAAGACTTGCAGGCTTGCACATTGACTTCAATGAACTAAGCTTGAAATTGTGACTACAGGGAATTGAACTCATAATGACAAAGAACTTAACCTTAACTTGACAAATGTAAGATCAAAGTGGAGTTATAAAAAATCATGATCATTCAAATACATCCAAATGAATACCATGCAAGTCATATAAAGGTGAGGATGATCGAGGCACATATCACTCACGTGGATAAATATATTGCCCTCTTACAAATGAAAGAAATTGATAGACGTAATGGTGAGCTTGCAAGTAAATATTAATATGAATACTTCTTGGTCCATAATGCGTGTTGCAGATCATTTTCAAAGGTGACAAAGAATCTGTCTTTACACATGAATTTCAATTGCATGGATATGAGTGCAACAACAAATCAACATTTATATGCAAACAAGAATCAAATGAAAATGCAATTAAATAGCAAATGAGCGTCATAATGGGTTCACAAAGGATTTGTGATATCCAAGTATCAATTGATAATCATGGTTACTCAATCAAGATCAAATGGGGGATACATGTTCAATAGAACACATAAGTTACTAAGTTGTAGGTTGGACCTTCATATGATAAATATATAATCACTGGTGAACGAGCTTGTTCATCCTAATGAGACTCTTCATTGGGGCAAGGAATGATGAAATCAAAGTGGTTTAAGCTCTTCAATCAAATTAATATGCGTGTAATGACCGAATGGAGAATATGACAATATGCCTACGTTCAACAAAGTGAAGCTTCCTATAGATACTCAAAACCTCCTCACCAAAGGGGATGTAGATATCAGAGGGACGATGATCATTGGGAGCATTCTGAAGTCACTTTAAAAGACGAAAGAACAATCATACCTATAACAAGCAATATGTATGGATAATAGTAGAAGGCCATGCGGTGATTTGCTCATAAGTAGAATGTGGAGAATGTGCAACAGGTGTTGCGGCATTCCTACGACAAAAAAATATAATGGGGTGTGAAGTTTGATGAATAAGGAAGATGATAACAAATATAACTCCCTGCATTCGAGATCAACATATAATCAGATGAACATAGAAAATCTACCTACAATTGATGATGCCCTTCCTATAGGCATATGCAAAAATATGCAATGAATGTCAAAGTATTCGTACAGTCTACTACAACAAGATGGTGAGTAAATACATCTATCACTTATAAGTAAAAGGATTTGACATAAAACAAATGCGACGACATTCTTGTAATGAACCTCGATACACTGTATTGCGCCTACAGAATTAATGATCAATTTTTAACAAATGTGTTGTTAAAGATTAATGCAGATTTTGATGGTTTAAACTCATAGTTAGAAATAAAAAATACATATGTTATCCCAGTCATCTAGAGGGCTACGACGACTGTTTTAGAAGTAAATATCTCTCATGATTCTCCCGGACAACCTGATGTATCTTCCACGTACGAGTTCTGGGAAAAGAAAACCAGATCAAATCATCATATTCAGAAATGAAGTGAGTCTCAGTTCAACCAAATTCCGAACATTGGGTTGGATAAGATCATCAGGGCTTGCAAGTTTCTTGATGAACAGTGGTCACACATCCAACATACTATCCACAAGCAAATCCTAAAAAGGCTACGACAAAATGAACTTCTACGAGCCATTATAAAAGACCCTTCAAATGTATAAAATACCCCCGCATATGCACCGTAATTTGTATTCACATAGGTATACAAAAGGGGCAAGGGTAAACACAAAATTCGCATGGGCTCCGGCGAGCGTGTTGTAGGAACACAGGTAACGTTTAGGGATGCTGCGCGGGTCATTAAATTTAAACTCGATCCTCATAAGCAGGTAAATAGGAGTTGACAAGGTCTGATAAATAATTATAAAATGTCCCCAAACACCTGCATGAGCCTCAATGACTGTGTTGTGGGAACACATGTGACGTCTAGGGATGTTGCACGGGTCAGTAAATAAACTCAAGTTCTAGCCCGATTCTTCTATGTAGGTAGATAAGAGTCGACACGACTCGAACTATTAAATAAATATACGGTCGCAAGGTCGACCGAGATATTTATTTTATATATTCATATTAGACCTTCAAGGCCTTCAATAAAAAAAATTCATTCACAAACGCATAAAGCCTACGAAACCTAATTCTTTGTCGACAGCTCGATAGGGTCGACAAGGTTCAAGACACAAATGAAAATGACCCCAAACACCCTGATGATTGCCGTGTTGAATGTTTATCTTAACTGGAGGGGTTCACAAATACTTTCAAATGCCTCATAAATGTCCAAATGCCCATAAAATTCAAATTTTGAAATCTAAAATCCCAAAAATATTTAAAATTGAAACCCAACGATCAATCACTTGAAGCATAAAATTCATTCACCATCAATAGTTTTTCGGGGTGGACAAATTGAAAAATACTTCAGCTCACAAAGAGCGAATGCCTAGTCGAGAATATCACTAGGATTCATTCTCTAACAATCTTCTGCCAGTAAGGACGTTATATATGTACTCTGATTGGCGATTTTGTTGCCAAATGGCACTTCAGGATAAACGGTTATGACCCGGGGCCCTTTAAACCGAGTGATTTTGCCTCTAAATGGCACCACGAAATACCGATTATGGCCAAAGCTAATACGTTCCTTAGTGACATCAAATCCTTGAGATATGAATCAATAGAATATGATCGATAGAGCACAAAGCCATCTGTTAGCTAAGGTGGATTCAAATTTGTCCCCTTAGACAAACATTCCCCCAAGGTCTACAAGATCCCCTTGGACGAAGCAACCCATGGCTGTCGATAAGGATCTTTCTGTCAAGTTGGGTCGACTACCTCCTATGACTAAGTAGACCAGGGATCACGATGGCCCGGGACAACGGAGCCATGTGATCTTGATCGGGTCTATCATTAGCCCCACCATCCGCTTTAAGTGCAAGATGATGAAATTTCAAATTTTAAATATTCAATCTCACAACCCCTGAGCCCATGTTGCTACTATATGCCAGATAACACGCATCTCTACGTATCTAATTGATGACTAGACTTAATCGAAAGTACTCTCTCGTTATCGGGAGGGGTAATTAACTATAGGGGTTTGCGCCTATAAGAAACTAGAACTCATATCATAAAGTCCTCGCAAAATGAGGGTGAAATCCCTGGGTAGTGTCTTATCTACAAACCCATCTGCCTGCCCAAAATTTACCCCGGAATTTAATCCGTTAAAACTTCCCTTGAAAGAAGAAAGCTCAGTAGGTGGAGGTCGAGGCCGAGTTTTTGGAGCCCACAAGAACCAACATTTAAATTTGATAGAAAAAAACTTTCTAGTGATGTCAAAAGTGAGCTAGGTACTCTCCTCTTGATGGTAGCCATCACTGTGGCACTTCATGGAAAGCGCTTGGTTGATATAGTGAGGTGAGTCTTAATATTTCAAATGATAAAGATGACACAAATTTTTTTATGGACAATTTGACCTGAGATGATTTGGAAAGAATGTCTAAAGTTGGAAAAACAATGATACATGCTTTGAAAGAAGAATGATCAAATGTCATAGCAAGTGCTTCAAGTTTTAGAGTATCAAATCTTGAGGAAGAGGAGGATAAGCTAAATTATGATGACAGATGGAAAAAATAATCTCTGTGATCTGCATGTTACAAACTTAGTATTATTATTGTTTAAGTTGATTAAATGTCTTTTGGGTAACTAAGCTTATTTATTTAGCAAGAACTGAAACTTTAAATATATTAAAACATGAAAATTATGATTTAACCCAAAATAGTATCTTGATATGATTATTATTTTATATTCTTCAAAAGTCATCTTTATCAACCCAATAGGATTATTAGGTGAAATAACTTATTATTATTATTTTCAACGCTTGCTCTGGAAAGTAATCAGAATGTTTCTTAACGCCTTAAGTGTTGATGCAAGAAAACTAGAAAGAAAAGCCAGATAAGGAGAACAATGGGCAGCACTATAACCAAACTCGATTCAAATAGTAGCAATAATCTAAAACACAAAACCGATGGACAAACTGAATAAAAAATTTGTCATTTTATGTTTACGCAATCTTTTGATTTTGAGGCTTACGCCTCAAAACGCCTTGAGGCTTACGCCTCGCCTGACAAATGTAAAACGCCTCAATACCCGAATACGCAATTTTAAACATTGTATGTGCTTAGGGCTAGCAAACCGATGGTCCACCACAGCAAGAAGGTCCAAACGTCCAACCAAACTCCTCCGGCAAATGCTCCCAAATCAGCCAACCAACAACACTAGGAAGCTCAAGAAGAAAGATACAAGTGGGATGGAACTTGCGTAGAGAAGAAGAGGTAAGAAGCCCAGAAGAAGTAGAGAAGAGAGAAGTGGAACAAGCTCTCAAGCTTTTTCCAAGAAGAAGAGAAAACCCTCAGGTTTCAGAGACTTTGCTCAATAATTTTCAACAACCATTTCCTTCTAAAACATCTTCTATATATAGGTAAGAGAGGGGAACTAAACAGCCATAGCATCTCCAACTAAACCAATTAGATTTAGGGAAATGAAAGGCCAACAACCACAAAATAACAGCTCCCAAGTCGGTCCAGGAAACAGAGCAAAAAGGCCACAGAAGACCTAGCTGGAAGCCACGGGAAACCCAGCCAGCAGGGATCCCGAATAGCCAGCATAGAGAACGAACCGCAGGCACAGGAAAAAATAGCCAAGGCCACGGGAATAACAAAAGCCCAAGAGAAACTGAGGAGACAAGGAGGAAACCGAGAGGCATCATGGGGAAGAGAGAGGGACAAGTTCCACCATAATGAGCTTCCACTAATCTCAAATAAATGAGCTAAACTTCAGCTCATTATGAGCTAACCAAGAGCTCAACATTAATGAGCTAGCACTTTTGAAAATATAGCTCAACACCAAAGCAACCACCACCTCCCAACATCAACACCAGCTCAAAACCGAGAACCATAAGCTCAACCCGAGAACCAGCAGCAGCCCAAGGGACCCAAACAAGCTGCAAACCAAGGTCTACCAAAGCCCAAGCACAACATACCATGATCATTGGATGCCTTCCATCATTGGACAGCTAAAAAAATATAAAACTAAATGAAAAAACTAATGTTCAATGTTTGATAATAAAAATACAAAAATTATGAATGCATCAGTGTTGAGTGATTCTAGTGCTTTGAGAGTGCTTAGTGCTTTGAATAGTTAGAATTTTAAGCTCACAAATTTCTTTTTTTGACTCATTTATGACAATTAGTGTTTATTTATTTATTTTAGAATCAAGGTTGTTTTAAATTTCTAATATAGGGAAATCAGTGCCATGCAGGATGTGAAAGGCTCATCTAAGAATTTCCCAAAGCATGAATCCAGACATGTTTCTGAGCATAAGGTACGTTTCATAAATCTTTCATATATTGCTGATTAATGAGATGGAATACTTTTGCCATGAGATGGTATTTGTAAACTATTAAATCTAGTATAATGTCAAAAGACAAGAGAAGAAGATGAAGGAAATTGATCCTCTATCTAGTTTGAACATATTTTCTATTTGGAAGTTGGCATATAATGTTATGATGTTGTTTTTTTTTTTTAATAGCATAATTTTATATTTGCATGTAGCATGCATATTGTTTTTTTTTCCTTTAAATTTTATTTTTATTTTTATCTAGCATGCATATTGTTAGATTTACTTAGAGGTGCTAAATTATCTTGGTCGGCACTCACAATTAAAGTGCCATCATTATTGTTAGGAGGATGGTCTGAGTTGAAATAAATTTAGGGAGGTCCCTCTCCCAACTCAGTGGAGGTTATTGTAGCGATGAAAGGCAACTTGTAGCTATAGCAGGCTGCCCTATATAAATTATTGTCGCCCTTATGCCAGTAGATGATTTGATTCCCATGGCTACCCTAAGAATTGACATGCATATGTGATAACCCTCTTGCATTTAGACATATTATATAAGGTGATTAATTGAAGCTTATGACATATTTAATGAGGAAAAGGCTCACTGAACTTCAATCACACAAAGGTAAGATCGAAATATTAGGAAGCATTGGCCATCGAGTGCATCAAGATGTTGCATCCTTTAATTGTTGGACTTGCTGTAGTGAGTGGGGCTTCCATGGTTTCCTAGAGCCTTCATGAATCATGTCGTCCAACCTTTTTGGGTAGATCCAACCATCTGCATGAATGCATACCTCGAGTGATTAGAAGGTGGGGGACATTATGCAACCCATTGCCTTCCTCATTGCAAACATAAGTTTGTAGCTGTCATTTGCAAGCGCATGGCCAGGATGTTTTAATTCTAGTTTTATTTGGTTCAATTCACTGTACTCATAAGAGTGTGACATATTGCTCGTATGCTATTTCTTTATTGGATCAACATTTAGGAGACTAATGACCTTTTAAAAAACATATCAGTTATGTTGGCCATTTTTTTGTTAAGGAAATTAGAAATGCAACATGAGGATATTCATGTTGTCTTTCTTTCTTGATCTTAAATGGACAGTTGGCTGAGTACGACTACAACTGACTTATAGGTCTTTAAGAAAACGGGGTGCATGTAATTTATTAATGATTTGTATGATGGAGTGAGGATTAGCGCTTGAAGTGGTTGTGCAACGAGCTGTGAGTTAACAAAATTATAGGTTAACATCAAAGTAAGATTGTGGGATTATTTTGGATCCAACATGCTTATCCAATTTTGATGGGACAAGGTTCTTTAGTTATGTTTTCTTTTACTTTATGTGATTACAAGTTGGATATGAAATATTTTCGCTTTGCCTTGTTGCTCATGATTTATTTTGTATTTAGTACTCTTTGGGATCTTCTGATAGTTGGATCATGAATTTTAAAGCGGGGACTATTAAAAAATTTACCATGCTTTTGATGGTTATCTTAAATTTTAGTGCATTTTTATCTATGGGATTGACGAAGGACTTCTTTGGAAGGCAACATTCTATTTTGGTTAATATTGTAGTGGCATTTAGTTTCCTTTATTTTTTGGGACTTTTTTGGCTTCCTTTTGAGATTTATATAGTATTCTTTGATAACTTTTTCATGGATATATTTAAAAAGGCGTTTTTTCTTGAATAATTTCAACAATAACAAGCTTCTTTATGTTATTTATTGTTTAAAGTTTGATATTGCTTTGTTAATTAGCGGGAGTTCTAACTATTTTGTGGCAGATTTGATCATTGTGTGGCATTCATAGCAATTCGACCTTCTCTCTTTTTCTCAACAGCAGGAGCGAGATCTCTACTCATCAGCGTTATGTTAAAGTTTTAGAATTTTGTTCAAAATATATCTTCAATAGTTGATTCTCGGGATTTTATTCGGTTCTACTCGTTTTTAAACCATTATTATGGTAGTATAGAATATTTTATTTTTTAGTATTCTAAATTAATGTTTATGTCATCATGATTTTTCCTTTTAATTAATAAGAAGGTGCCTGCACCCAGTGTTTTCTAAAAAAAGGTTTACGTATAAGATGAGCACTAAGTCTAAATCTTTTTATTTTGGTTATGGAGATGCTTGCAAAAAATATTCGAAGGGGTCTTGGCTATTATTAATTTCAATGACATAACTTTGATTGTTACAATCTATTTTAAGTGCATAGTATATAATTCCTTATATAATACTTCTATGATCGAGAGGTTTTTGGTCATTGCTCAACCCATATTGCTTACTTACCATTCACTGATTGGATCTAACTTTGGGGTCATTAAGGATCTCGTTTAAAGAATATAAATTATGGATGTGATTTCTGTGGCATGGTAATCAATTAGATAATATAAAAAATAACGAGAGGATCTTTATATAATCTTTCCTAATCTTAAAATAATATAGAATTGAGTGTGATGAAAATTGCTTTAGTGGGTTTGAGTGTGATATAGGATGTCTTAGGTTTCTCTTCTCATCGTTTATAAATGCCTCAATTTTTAACTTTTTAGTTCTGCTATCATCTAACTCATTTATTTGACATCCATTATTTTCATAGACATTATTATCATATGGTCTATAGGTTTGTGTTTACTATTTATCCTATTAATTTATTACCCCCTAGATGTGATAACATATGCTTTATTCGCCTTTGAAATTTGCTAAAATCCTTGAACAAATTAGAGTTAGTACTTCATATAGAGCTCAATATGAACGAGCGAAGGATTATTCATAATACTTACTTGAGTAGGTGGGATAAGGGTGATGATTGTGATTATTTCATTTATAGAAGAAGTGTAAAATTATCTATCATCTAGTTTTATCAAAACATAGATAAATTGGAGTGTTAATTCCATGATAATTAAGCCTGTTTGAAATTGTTAAGTTATACTCAATAACTATTTGTATCATATAACCTTGGTTTTGTTTTGCTGATTGTGCAAAACTTAGCTAGGTTATTTTTTGCTGTTTGTGCAAAACATAGATTTTGGGCTGCATATTCCATTTGAATCTCATTTGCAGCCTTAATAATCTCACTGTCAATGTATGTAAGAGAGTAGATTGTTATTATTATCATCTCCGTTAATAGCCTTATCAAAGTTAAAGGAAATATCGAGGGTTTGATCAAGAAAAGTTGTAAGCAGTTCTTAAATATATATATATTCTCTTAATAAATTATGCTGATTTTTTTTTTCTTTTGAGTACCCATTAGTTTTTGAAGAATTACAAAGTTTGGATCTTTTGTTTTGTTGTTTCTATGGGATATCCTTGAGATGAACTGTAACTATAATAAATTTGCCATGTTGTTTGAAGATGAAACTGTACTTCTAGATATTTGTATGTCTTATGGAACCGATCAAGCTCATAGAGATTATGAAATTACAATAGTAGATTATTGGATTTTGTTAAAAAAAATTCATTATTTGAGCATAATCATGAAACTGAGATTTCCTACACTAATCCTTGAATTGAGGATTCTGATATGTTTCCTTTTCTTCATAGAATATTGCAAGGTGTGCAAGATTTAGTCCTGATGGTCAGTTTGTTGCTACTGGTAGCTCGGACTATTCAATAAAGCTGCTTGAGGTTATTCATTTCCTTGAAATATTCTCCACTATTGACAGTAAACCAAGCTCTCAATTCTTACTGCACATTGCAGGTTTCAAAAATTAAGCAAATGATGGTTTCCGAGGCTCGGGAAGGACCAATTCGACCTGTTATTCGGACATTCTATGACCATGCAGAGGTTTTTAATCATTTATATGTTATGAAGAATAGACAAAATACCATCTTATTGTTCTTTATTGGATATTATTTTTGTTGGAAATTACATGTTTTTTCGTTAGTCTAAAGAACAGTTTAATTGTGATATGTGGTTGAGAACTACTTTAATTGATGGAAATTTGATGTTCTATTTTGTTCGAAAATGAAAGATGCGAGCATTTAGGTGAGCAAGTGGTTATTTTTTAATGTTCTCTAATTATCTTTTTTTTTTTCTTTTAAGGTTTTTTGGATGCAACAAACAAATAGGAATGGGATTCGTCCTATAATGTTGATTTTGTTTTCACTTTGGTTTATTGCTGCATGATATTGGATTTAACACTCAGTTTGATTCCCAGTTTAACTATTTTCAATTCCCTATTTCAGCCCATATCCGGTTCTCTTTTATTTGTAACTATCTACTATATACAGGATCTCTGATTATGGCAATGTAGCTAGGTCGGAATTTGCTATTAGCTGTTGATTGGTTCTCTTAATTGGTTGCTACTCTTTTTTCTCCATTGGTTTGCCAATGTTTATGTAGTTGTCGTTGCATGTGCTTCACATGCAGTCTTTCATGTTGGTTCGTGCCATTGTTTTCAATACCCTACCTCATGCTGTTGCTCCTTTATTTCCTTTTATATGTAATTTACACATGCTTTGTTATTGCATTTTTCATCAGCATCTCTGTTTCCATTTATAAAGATTTCTATTTTTATCGGCGTATTAGTAAAACTGAAGTTAGAGAGGCTTTAAAAAAAATGAAGGGTAGAAAAGCTGTTGGACCTGATGATATTCCAATAGAAGTGTGGAAATGCTTAGGAGATGAAGGAATTTCATGGCTTACTAAACTTTTTAATACTATTTTGAAGACTAAAAAGATGCCAGATGAGTGGAGAATGAGTGTGTTAATTCCTATTTTTAAGAATAAAGGTGATGCACAAGATTGTGCGAATTATAGAGGTATTAAGTTAATGTGTCATACTTTAAAACTATGGGAGCGAGTTATGGAGCATAGGTTACGACGTGATACTAATGTTTCTCAAAATCAATTTGGATTCATGCCGGGTAGGTCGACTATGGAAGCCATACATTTATTAAGAGGTTTGATGGAGAAATATAGAGAAAATAAGGAGGATCTACATATGATATTTATTGATTTAGAAAAAGCATTTGATAAAGTTCCAAGAGAACTGCTATGGAGAGTTCTTGAAAAGAAAGGAGTCAATAATGCTTATATTCAAATCATTAAAGATATGTATGCAGGAGCTATTACTTGTGTTCAAACACAAGGTGGATTGACCAAGTATTTCCCTATTTCGGTTGGGTTACATCAAGGACCAGCCTTAAGCCCATATCTTTTTGCTTTAGTCATGGATGTTCTCACTAGACATTTGCAAGAGGATGTACCTTGGTGTATGCTTTTTGCTGATGATATTCTTCTTGTTGATAAGACTAGAGAGGGAGTTGAAGGTAAACTTGAATTATGGACTTTAATAGACCAAAAGCAGTCGAACCAAGCAATAAACCAGATCAGTTTTCAAGCTTTTCTGGCATATATTTATTTAAGGTTCAATTTTCTAATATTTTTATGGATTTAATTTTATTATTTTTTATAAAACAAATATTATAACAATATAATGATAGGAGTAAGACAAAGATAAATACCAAAAAATGACAAAATTTATAAAAAAAAATACAAAACCCAAATACATATAGCATAAAACCAATGAAAAAAATCATCCATTAATTTACATATAGCATATAATGATAGGAGGACTCCTTTATTAGATTTAAACGAGAATTTGACTTTTAATAGGACACAATGGAGAAAAAGGATTCATGTAGCCGACCCCACGTAGTGGGATAAAGGCTTGATGTTGTTGTTGTTGTTGTTGTATCTCTGTTTCCATTTATGAGAATCTGGATTTTCCTTAGCTGGATGGTGTGGGGGATCTTATTGAAATAAATTTTCAGATCACAAAAGTTGTGTATAAAGATCATGAGTCCATAGGTAAAGATGGATCATCATTCAGATGTATGGTGATCAAGATTATGAGGCAAGAAATTTGGACTATGATATGATGATATGGACAATAAGTTTGTATTTTAAATTTAAATTTTCATCTTTTGTGGAGTTAATTTAGGATGGAAAAAATTGTTCATGAAGGGAGTTAGGGACAAGATTGCTTCTTATTTTATGGAGTTAGCTTAGAAGAAAATAAGATCAAATTTAATTTAATTCCTTTTTTTTTGGCCTATAAGTAGACTATTTCTTGCAGTTGAAAATTTCTCTTGATGAGTAAAGCAAAGTGGCAAACACATGCATTTTAGCAAAACTCAATTATTATGGCAAAGAATGATCAGAAAATAACAATCAGATAGGAGTTTCTTATAACAAAAAAATTCAACTTATACTCTTAGTGTGGATTATTGTAAGCACCTTAAGTGGATTGTGCCATATTCCCAATCCTAAGTAAATTCTAATTTCCAAAATTCTTCATCACATTCAATTTCAAATCTTAATTTTGTGTTAGAATGTGAGTTCCAACCCTTTGAAAGTAAGTTTTCATTATTAAATTAAAGACTAGGAAAGAAAAACTTTTCAAAATTTGAAGCTTAAAACATAACGACAATGAAAAAAGATTTTTGATAGTTTGAAGAATGTCGTTTTTAGCACGAGAGAAGTGATGGCAACAATGAGGGACAAATGTCTATAATGATGGCTGCCTCTGATGCTCTTCCTGCTGAGGAAGCAGCACCATCATTTACTCCGCCGCCACCTCTTCAGATAAAAGAAGAGCCACATCCAATAGAAGTGAACAATCTACCTTGTTGGGAAGAGATAAGTATGAAAATGAGATAAAATCTTTGAAGGTGGAAGCAATGCTGACATTACCTTGTTGGGAAGGAATAATTTAAGCTAAGGCAATAAACAATTAGTTTAAACGTTTTGAGGCATATTTCATGATTTATGATTATCTGGACAGAAAAAAATTGTATTTGCTCATTTGAAGTTTCTCCGCATAAATTAGTGGGGTGGAATTTTCAATCTAAATATTATTATCCATCATATTTGGCATGATTAAAAAATTGTTGAAAGCGCAAATCTATTTCATTGGACATGAAGAATGAAAAAGTGATTTCGATGACAAAATTTGAATCAGGATAATTTGTGAAATGTACATTCGTGCATGATAAAATTTAGAAGGACAACAGCTTCAGAAATTTTATTGAATGAAAAATCTATATTCATGAAATATGTAGTAAGGCTTATGAAATCCTTCACATAGAATTGAAGTTCAATTGATGATATCCTTAAAGCCGAAAGTTATAGTGTTTATGGGGAAAAAAAACATGATTTTGGACAAAATTCTAGCGTGTAACTATAAAAAGGGAAAATATTGAAAGTTTCACTATAAAGTAGGAAGATAGTACATACAATTGTTGCTATTGCAAAAGATCAAGGCATAAGATTCAGAAAATGTATCAAATTCATAAAACATGCACAAAAATACTTTCACTACTTCACAAAATGTAGTTGAGTTAGCAGTAACAACGGCAGAGAGAGATTTACTGCTGAGACATTTGAAATCTGTACTAAATCCTGTGGCTTTTTAAGCCTCCATTTATGGATGAAGAAGTAAATTGGGCTGTTTAGATTCCCCTCTCTTGCCTATATATATGAGATGTTTTGTGATTAAATGGGAGGTGAATATTTGAGAGCAAAAGTTGCTAAACCTGCGGGTGTTTTCTTGGAAGGCTTGAGAGCTTGTCCAGCCTTCTTCCACCCCTCTGGAAATCTGCGAGCTCTTTCCAACCTTTCGTCCTCGGCTTCTAACCTCTTCTCTCTACGCAAGTTCACTCCACCTGTATCTTCCCTTCTGGTTCCGTTGAGTAAGATTGTTGGTTGTTTTTTGGTGGCATTTGTTGGAGGAGTTTGGTAGGAACATTGGATCCCTTTGCAGTGGTGGACCTTGGTTTTGCATATCTAACCTAATTTTAGAAATATATTCCTACAGATCGGTTCATTGAGGAGTCCTCTAGTAGGATGTGTCTGAGGAATAGTGTTTTTTGTTTTAATGTTTGTTTTTTTGCTAACTTTTTTTTGTGCTTTGGTTTTTGGGATGATCCCTACTTTTTCTATTTCTGAATTCGCAGTGACGATGTGTAGTCTATTTTATGTGGTGATCGCGTAGAAGCACCAGGTGCACTCGCATTATTCTTGCGCATACTCTAGAAAGTACAACTCTGGCTGGACAGTGAGTTTTGAGTTTACTTGGTTTTTCTCTTGAGTTTTGTTTATAAGTTGAATTACATCAAGATGTAATGCGTGATCATGATTATGAGGCAAGAAAATTGGGACGTGTAGACATTGAGTCCCGAGTGATGATGGATAATGAACTGTGTGTATTTAAATATGTATTCTGAGAGAGTCCCACTGTATATGAGAGTAGTCACTGTGCGGGATCGTAAGGATATGAGTGTTATGGAAGCAAAAATATACGGAAGGAAGGGAGTTAGGGACAAGATTGCTTCTTATTTTATGGAGTTAGCTTAGAAGAAATAAGATCAAATTTAATTTAATTTCCTTTTTTTTGGCCTATAAGTAGACTATTTCTTGCAGTTGAAATTTCTCTGATGAGTAAAGCAAAGTAGGCAAACACATGCATTTTAGCAAAACTCATTATTATGGCAAAGAATGATCAGAAAAATAACAATCAGATAGGAGTTTCTTATAACAAAAAATTCAACTAATACTCTTAGTGTGGATATATGTAAGCACCTTAAGTGGATGTGCCATATTCCCAATCCTAAGTAAATTCTAATTTCCAAAATTCTTCCATCACATTCAATTTCAAATCTTTACTTTTGTGTTAGAATGTGAGTTCCAACCACCCTTTTGAAAGTAAGTTTTCATTATAAATTAAAACTAGGAAAGAAAACTTTTCAAAATTTGGAGCTTAAAAAAAATGACGTAATGAA